CCACCCCCCCCCCAAACATGGAAAAAAAGTTTTTTTTTTTTTTTTTTTTTTTTTTTTTTTTTTTTTTTTTTGTCCTACAGACAGCCTGACCATTCCCACAACCTCCCTTCCCCAGTTACAGTTTTGTACTCACTCCTTGTCAGGATTTTATTTCTACAGTCACCAGGTCAGAAGTTCCCGCTCCAGCATCAGTAACTTGCTAAGGGTTAGACAGCCAGTGGCAGTGTAGGTTTTATTCCTCTTCACTGCCCTGTATGGGTGCAAGAGGGCAGCTCCAACAGAGGACAGGAGCACTGTACTCAGAGCCCAAACATTTGGCCTTGCATCCCACTCTGCCACTTATCTTGTGACCTAGGCAAGCCACCTACCTAGGTCTTCTGGCCTGTGAAACAGTGATTATGGTGCTCAACTCCTAGGCTGATGTGGAAATTGAGACGTATTTGTCTGTGTGACTTTAGGCCCCCTCGAGGTATCCCTTGAAACTGGATTAACAGGAACTAGAGCAAGTGAGGGGCTTGAACCACACCCTAGGCCTAGAGGCAGGGGCTCCATCCAGATTAGTGAGCCAGGTTCAAAATCTTCAGGTGTCTCACCCGGCCTGGAGTCATTCTCTAAAATGATTTGTCAAGTGACAAGCAAAAATATATTTCCAATTTAAGAGTGTGATTTGCCTGCAACTTTTTAATCCTCAGGCTGTTGTTGAATAGATTAAAGTGTCTGCTTTGATCCATGCATTTAGATGGAAACATAAATATAGCCATCACTTATTCTCTAGCTGCCAGGCTGGGTGTCATCTTGCGTCATGCTGGCTTGCGACCCAGCCAGGGTAATGCATGAGAATGACCTTTTTGCCATTCAAATCCCTTTTACATTTCAGCCCTGACTTTTCTGCTCCAGCCTGCTCCCATCAGCTGCTACCTAATTGAACCACAGCTCAAGCTGGGAAATGGTCACTGGGGAAAGAGTTGGGGCAGCCAGGTCGCCAGCGGGAGGCGAGGCCTCCCAGTGGCCTGGTGCTGCGAACTTCCTCCAGCTTGGGAGAGCCCTGCAAGAATAAACCTCTGGAGAAATAGATTTTGAAGAGGAATTTGGTACATAGATCTTCTGTCAGCGGAGCAGACTCCGGCTCAGCCGTTTTTTCAGGCTCGGTGCTTATCCAGAAATACATCTATTTTTACATGGCTCTCTGGCGAGATTTCCTCTTCCCTTGCGGACTGGGAGGCAGCGGAGGGAGCCGGCGGGGCGGGGAGGCGACCGTTCTGAGCCCTGGGCTTCTCATGCCTTCCCCGCCTTCTCCAATCCCCAGATCAACCTCCCTCCTCGCAGCTCCAGCCTCATCAACACGCCATTCCTCTACACCTCCCATATTCCCAAGCCTGAAGTTCCCTGTGGGAGCTGAACCTGGGGGGCTGGGCTGTGAGCGCTGGGCCTCGCAGGTGTCACGCGCAAAGGCGCAGGAAAGCGCGCGCTCGCTGTCTCCAGCTGATGCAGCACAAAGACTGGCTGTGCACTCGGCACCCAAACAGTGGGACCCAGCTCTGAGAGGCCTGCTGACCCCGGGCGCCATGGCTGCCGGAGCCCCCACGCTGTGTGCTCTGGCAGGCAATTAGACCTCAAAAAATGGCTTGTGAGATGTCCGAAGTGGGGGGGAAGCAGATAATGACCGAGGCTTGGCCATGTGGAGGGGATAAGGTTGACCACGTGCTGATGGACCCAGCAGCCTTAGGGACATGTTCACCTGCTGCCGTAGACCCTTTTGGAGATCTGGACACCCATACTCCTCCTTTCCCTAAATTTCCCTGAAAAAAAAACAAAAAAACAAAAAACTTCTTTCACTCCAATAACATTGGTGCTTGGAGACCCAGACCCCCAAGATAATTGCGGAGAAAGTAGTCCCAAGATAGGAATGACGCTACACTGGCTGCTTGGCTGCCTAGCCCGGCCCCGCCCGTGCCCCGCCCCTGCCCCTTCCCCAAAGGCTCGGTCTCCACCTTCAATGGAAATAAAGCGTTTCTAAATGGGGAGGGGAGGAGGGGATGAAGGGAGGGCGGGGCCAAGGGGAAAAAATGAGAACCAAGAGCTGTCCTGTGAAGGCACAGGATCCCAGTAATGAATGTAACTGCATTGTATACTTAGATTGTACTAACAAACTCAATAAAAAGGAAAAAAAAAAACACAAAGTCTTCTTGTGCCCAGTGGCTCAAGGCTCTGGAAGTGCCCAGTCCTACTGAAGTGCCCAGGCTCCGGCTCTTCACTCCTGACTTGAACCAATGTACACACCTCCATCTCACAACCAGGTGCGTGGGCACTTCCGGAGATCAGCCCTACCCACCTCCATCCTCAACCTGCCACTCTGGGGTCTCCTTCCTGACATTGCACCTGCCTCCCATTCCCTCCCACTCTGCTCATCTCTTCCTCTGCCCGGCTTTTAAACACCCATTCTGCCCCCATCACTCCCCACAGGCCAGCACAGTCATTGTGGCCCTACTGAACCTCCTGTTCTGGCTCCTCTCCCTCCACACAGCTGTCTTTTCTCAGTCTCTGCACTGGGATGGGCACAGGCCCGTTACCAACAAGCTGTCATCATCAACATGCAGCCTGTGTCCCACTGTCCTGCCAGAACCCTGCCTTTCCTCACCCAAAATACCAGCTGTCCTGGCCTCTCAGATAGGCCCTCTCCCAGCTCTCCTCCTTCCTATGCCTGCTCTTTCCCTCTCTAGCTCTTCTTCCTCCTACCTTTTCTTTATCCCTCAAGGCTCTTGCCTAATTTTCCTCCTACCCTCTCTCCCCAAGCCTTCAAACGGTGCTTCCACGTGAATAGCTCACAGATTTCTGTCAACAGGTCTGGCATTTCTGGTTAAGTGTCCTCAACTGCTCCTACAACCATTCCAGGTTGGCAAGAACTCTCTGCTTGTCGCCTTTAAGTCAATCTTCCTGAAACAGATGCATCATCTACCCTCAAGAACTAGCTTCACTTCTGGTCGTGACCAATGTGTTTTTGCCTCTCATTTCTTAGGCTTGATCCCAATTAACTCCTCTTTTCCCCTAGTTCCCTCTCACGCACACAACCAAACACCCTAGCCATCAACCAATCATCAAGCAAACTCTAGCTTTCTTTGCACTGACTAGGCACCTCACAACCTTTCCATTCTAATTTCACCCCTGGTTCTAGCCCTTTCTCCATCTGCAAGGTCTATTGCAGGATCCACTCCCCTGTTGTGGACAAAATAATGCCTCTCCTCAAGGAAGTTCAATGCCCTAACCCCTGGAACCTGTGAATATGTTACTTTACATAGCTAAAGGGACTCTGCAGATGTGATTAAGATTACTGACCATAAGATACAGGGACTATCTTGGACTATTGAGTAGGTTCAGACTAATATCAGCCCCTAAGAGCAGGGAACTTTCATCAGCTCATGTCAGACATGTGCAGCAAAAGAGAAAGGAGTAGAAAAGGGTGGCAGAAGGGGAAGCCAGATAGCTTTCAGGCATGATAAGGGAACTCAGTCTTGTGACCACAAGAAACTTGGAAGAGCTTGGACACACATTCTTCCCAGATCCTCCCTGTAGGGGCCCAGCTAGTTGACTCTTGATTCCAGTTTCATAACAGAACTAGTCAAGCCAACGTGAATCTCTGACCTTTAAATTGTGGGATAATAAATTTGTGTCATTTTACGCTGTTAATTTTATGGTAATTTGTTACAGTAGCAATAGAAAACTAATTATCTTAAGCCCTTCAGCTGCTGTTATAACAAAAGTACCTTCGCCTGGTTAGCTAATGCAACAGAAATTTATTTCTCACAGTCTTAGAAGCTGGGAAGTCCAAGATCAAGGCACCAGCAGTTTCATAGTCCAGTGAGGGCTGCTTCTTATAGATGTACCTTCACTGTATCTTCAAGGGACAGAAGGAAAGAAAATCAAATAGGCTCTCTCTAGCCTTTTCTGTAAAGGTACTATCCCATTCATGAGGGTGAGGTCTTCATCACCTTGGGAGTTAAGTTCCAACATATAAATATGAGAGGAGGCACTCCACATTCATGCCATAGCACTAATACACCCCAACATTACCCATTCAGAAAACTGCTGCAATAAGATCAACCTGGCATCCAGTGCTTTTCAGGATTCCCAACTGCATAGCATGTATGGCCCAGATCCTCACCCTGACTTTCAAGTCTACCTCCAGTTTTCCTTTCTGGCTCATCTCCCATTGAAACCATCACTTAAAATATACTGGCACCTTCACATCCTCCAAAATCACTCCAGCATCCCACCTCCAGATCTGTGTTCATTCTATACCCTCATCTGGAATTCCTTCTCCTTTCTCCTCTTCTCTTCCTATCCAAACCTGAGCTCTGTCAAAGCCTGCCACTAGCCCCCTCCTCCAGGAAGCCTCCAGGAGCCCTGCAGCCTGCACAGAACTCTCCTCCTTGATCCACTTGGCACTTGGTGCACCTGGCCTTGAGTTAGATTCTGGCTCTCTTTCAACACCCTTCCCAATTTAAGGACACAATCTACAGATTTTGTTTCTCTTATCTCTACCACTGTGCTAGCACAGTTCTGAGTACAAAGTAAGGGGTCAACAGAAAATCACTGGGTTATATACAAAAGAAAAATGTTTTCTCCCAGTGCCCTATTGAGCAGTAGGTCCCAAATGTAAGGACCAGCCAGTGGCCAGGGGCCAGGGGCCAGGGGCCAGGAGATAGGGTTGAGGCCTCGGCCAGAAGGCCCCTCTGAGTGTGCTGAGGTACTGAGGGGGGACAAATAATCCTGACTTACACAGTAGCCCTGAGAAGATGCAGAGAAGGGTCCCCTGAGCCAGACCAGAAATGAACCTGGGGCAGGAGCAGATGAGTCCAGAAGACCATCCCCAAATAGACAAAGGGACGCAGAAAGCAGCCGAAGGAAGCTGACAGAATATCCAGTCTGGGTTCAGGGAGCAGGAAGGCTCTGCCAGGACCAGCAAATTAGCCCTTCCCACACTCCCTGGCTGGACGAGGGGACAGTGCCAGTGCCACATGTCAGACACCATGAGGACTTGGGAAAGGGCTGAGAGGAAAGGCAGAGAAGAGAGGAAGAAGGGGGAAAGAAGAAGGCAGGAGAGGCAAGATGAGAGAAGACAGGGAATGAGTGTGAGGAGGAGAGAAGGGGAGGGGAAGTGGGGACTTCTAATGGCCACTGTGGAGGACCAGTCCCTAGACTGCCCTTAGCCCACTGGAGTTAAGGTGAGGTGAAGATAAAGCACCCCTCTACCCCCATGGCTACCACAACTAAGAAATTATGTAGAGTAATTAATCAAAAGCTAATGAGAAATGTGTTTTCTCTCCTAGCCTAGCCCCACATCATATTCTTATTAGCTGAGGTTATTACAATAGTAATCACGCGTGCTCCAGGCGCAAATTGGGTTTTTTGCTCCACTGCCACCAATTTAGAAAACCATTAGTGGCAAGATAAAGTCCCCATGGCTCACACCAGGCCAAGCTGGGTGAACCTGCTGCTGGGCCCTACTCTGACAGCCACACATCATCGTCCAGGGGCACTCCCAGAGCACCCAGAGCTCTCCTGGGGGCACTGACAGGCAGAAGGGGCCCAAACCCTGGAGAGGGCGGGAAGTGCTAGGCTTGGGGTGGGAACCTTTGATTTCATGACCAGGAACAACCCTCATCACATGATGTGTAAAGCTGAGTTTGTTTCTAAGGTCTAAGTCACCCCAATTTTCTCTTGAGCCCTTCTCAACTCAGAACCTGTCTCTGGAAGGAATTAGCTAAACCCTGGGTCCCACACACAGGTTTGCAATTAGGGGCTGACTCTTAAAAAAAACTTTCACTAGTAAAATGAAGGGTAATGTAGCACTTTCATTGTTCTTAATTCTGAAACTGTCCTTCCTATTTTGTTCATGGTTTTATATACATAAACGTGTGGGTCAGGTATGTATGTATATATTGTATTTATGTATATTTTTAAGTACACATATGAATTACACACAGTAATTACTCAAGTCTCTTTCATTTACAAAGTATGGATTTAAATAGCTATTGCAAAACTGGAGAAGTGTTGGTTCGGGTAACGAGGAGTTACAGGAGTAAAACTAGAAAGTCAAATGGTATTGTCAGGCCTCTTATTTTCTCTCTCTTTACATTGCCTTTGTGTTCTCTTAGTCTGCGCTTCCTTCCTGGATGGGCCATGGGAAAAATGACCCCTGCATCATAGCCAAAGGCTGCTCTGGACTTACATTCCAAGGAGGAAGATCTTCCATCTCCTTCGACATCTGCAGACATAGGCTGGGGCACACTCTGACTGTCCCACCTTGGGTCATCATGTGGCCCAATGGCTGTAGGCAAGGACACTGTGTCATCCAGATCTGAAGCTGAGGTGACAGTTCTGTCCTTCTCCCCCACTGATACAAAGGAATAGTCACTACCCCAAAGAAAGTAGAGATATGTAACTAAAACAGAAGGGTAATGGATGCTGGGAGGAGAACACAACAGACAAATACTACACCTGGCAAACTAAAAAAACAAGATGTAGGGACAGGGATTTAGCTCAGTGGCTCCACCGCCTGCCTCATATGTTCAAGGCCCTGAGTTCGATCCCCACCACCAAAAAACAAACAAACAAAAAACAAGATGTACACCCTCGACCTGCCTCTGCAAAATTCTTTTCTGAAAGTCAAAGGCTGGCTACCAAAAATATCAAAGCTCATTTTGTCCAAATACTTCTTCCAGGATTCTCACAGAAGAAAGGCCCATTACCCTAACTCAATCAGTGCGTGAGCTTAGTGTATATACTTATCAGTCTCACT